CAAAGATAACAATCCGCAACAAAGGCGCATTCACCATTAATTCCAATATGGCCCCGGGCCAATCAACTCAACTCCAATCATCGATCCTCATACCCGCACCGACAATCCCAGCCGTCGCGTGCTAACTCCCACTACTGCGATCGTCACCCCGCTGTCGTAAACTCGACACTGTCCGCCCGGATCCCACAGTCCGTAGTGGCGATCAAGCGCGCAACCGGCCAGCCTATCGTCAGCCCGACAGGACTTTCCGACTCACATCAATCCACTCTGCCTAGCCACTGCTTCCCGGAAGCTGGCTTAGGGGTCGAGAACGTAAGAGAGATTTGTGGACGCGCTTGCGGTTTTTATAGTTGCGACGGGGGAGATAGAAGGGGGAGAAGGCGACGGGAAAGCTGAGGTGTAAGAGGAGAAGCAGGAGGAGAAGACTTTGAGAAGAGTCCTCTACGAACGCCATATTGATCCCTTGAAACTCAAGGTTCAACCAATCAGATTCGYCRYGCAATAGGAAGGTCCTATTGATCCGCGCACCTGATTGGCGAGCGGGAGTTATCGATGGATCGACCAGGCATCGTGCGCCAGACTCAGAGGGTGAGAAGAGAAAAGGCGCGAGAAGTAGCGCAAGACGGGTCCAAGATTCAGATGATCAAGAAAGGGAAATGGGCGCGCAAAAAGCAAGGCGGGAGAGAGAGAGAGAGAAGGAAAATAGTTACGGGGAGAGAGGAAAAGGAGGGAGAAAGGAAGGGAGGCGCGGGAGGGAGCGATGCGGGGGACAGAGAGGAGAACGCTTCTGCATACGTGGCGCCGTCAACAAAAAGAAAGAAAAAGGTACCGAAACAGTTACAGTTTGCTCCTCTCCTAATTCAAAATTGAAATCACCATATCCGCGCGCGAAAAGACGACGTGGGAAAAGAAAATCGTATGCCTATTTGTATTCACGCAAAATTCCAAGAGTTTTTTCCGATGCGCCCAAGAACATTCACACACTCGAAAAGGACACGTCGAAGTTCCGCTTATCCCAGAATTCCCAACTGCCAAGCCCAATTCCCAATGCGCTCGCTAAGGCGCACGTAAATTCCCATGTATTTCCCGACTTGCAAAAAGGAAAAACAGATCCAAGAAGTCGAAAAACCCTTCAGAAAAGAAACAAAAAAGATTCGAAACGGGTTTTTTCTGGGGATCGGTACGATACAAGCAAAATAAGGGGTACGAAAGATGGCACGGGTTCGGGAAGTGGTTCGTCACATATGTGACGTGAAGGGGGTTCCAAAATTATGCGATCTCCTGATTGCATGTCATGGCGGAGGAGGAAAGAGAAAGGGGAAGAACAGAGTGATGCATGAGGAACCAAACACATCAGCAGAGCTTCCAGAATGAAGCACAAGGGGTGTTTACTAAGCCGCGGATGAGATGGCGACAACATCCGTGACAAGACCTCCGAACCCGGTCATATGCAACCCCCTGCTCTGTAGAGATCGTCCAGGTGACGCCATCACGGTCCACCTGATCTCCATGTGCTCTACACCCCAGCTCGTTGCTGCCCGTCGAATCAGAGCGTAGGTTGACGTCATCGTCGATGGCGGGATCTCCACAAAGCTTACTGATTCGTGTCGATGAGGAGAGGAGGGGGGGGGGGGTGTTACGTGAATGGGGCCTACCGCCTAGTTGGAATAGGCCAATAGAGACGGTACATGGAGGGGATCTCGCGGGGATGACGGGGAGGAAGTGGAGGTAGGAAGCGATTCATCCCTTCCATTGTCACCGGGAGCTCCTCATATCGGATGATCCGGTGGAAGTGGGGGAAATGATCGCCGTTGCGGGGAAGGGAAGTGAGGTAGTCGCGATAAAAGGAGGAGAGGGTGTGGAAGAGCGCCGCTCGAAAGATCTCGAAGTGGCGGCAAGCAGGGATTGTCCCCGTGGCGCCGCAGTTAACCTCTACCACGTTGCATCGCTCCCATGCAGCGCTGAATAGCAGGAGATGCCAACAGAACGTGGGGGCAACGGATTGAAGGGAGGCGTGGGGGTGGACGGTGGCGAGTAGACGGGTAGAATAGAAGTCGCGGAAAAGATGGGGATGGAAAGGATGGGAAGGGAAGGTGACGGGGGTACGGATCTGCTCGAGGGTGAGGAAATCAAGGGGTCGGTGGGAAAGCGTCCGAGGACGAAGGCCTATCACCCGCATCGGTACGTGGGCGAACTGGGGGACGGGTGGGGCTGGAGGAGGAGGGGGATCGGCTCCGTCTCTGTCGCGCGGTACTTGAGGTGGCGGCTGCAGGGTCGCCATCTTCGGGCTTCGGCAGCTCTGGATCCCTGGTCGGATCGTTACCGATGCGCAGGCTAGCTTGGCTGGCGAACTCCAGCTGGTGCTTCCTGGTGGCAATTTCTTCGCGCTTTCGCACTGCTTCCGGATCGTCTGCCTCCGTTCCTGTACGCGTCGCTTCATCCGGCAAGGCTTCCCACTCAGATCCAGTTTCCTCTTCCTCCTCTTCTCCTTTGCTCAGCTCGCCCTCGCTATGTTCACTATAGCTTCCCTCCTCCGATGTTTCCTCGTCTTCGTCCTCTTCATCGTCGTCGTCGATCACCACTTCCTCTACCCTTGGATAGAAGGCGTGAGGGATGATCTCGTACGGCTTCAGATACTCCTGCCGCGATGGTAGCGTATCCTCGTCCCTAGGTTCCTCCAAGCACGCAGTCAACTGAAGGTACGGATCCAATGATCGCTCGAAAATGTACGGAGCAGGACTGTCGTCACTCTCAAAATAGATGTCGGGCGAAAGATCGTCTGCCAATTGCACGATCCGTGCGATAAGCTCCTGCGCAATCAGGTGGCGTCGACCCGGCCGTACCAATCCGAAGAGAAAGCCAAGAAGATCTCCTTCCACGTTAGTCCTCCAAGCCTGTATGATCAGCAGCTCCGGATTCTCGATCCACGTGGGATGCTCGCTAGTGCCCGTCCACGTCACATGTACTCTGGCCAAGCAGAAAGACAGCTCCTCAAAACTTTCGCGCCACAGTCGCCAATGTCTAGGATTGATAAGAGAGACTGAAAGAGGCTCGAACGAGAAGGAAAGAGAAGGGTGAAGATCGGATTGCCAGAAGGTGGGGAAGAGAGAGGGGAGACCAAAGATAGAGAGAGGGGCGAGGAGATCGGCGTGGTTCATTGGGGATGTGGGAAGGGGACGAGGGTTGGGATCGCAACTGGCCGCTCGCGAGGTGATTTGCGAATATTGTCTAGATTCGGTGTAAAGATCGGGATAAGGTTATACCCTTGTCGGGCAAGGACGTGCTGCCACACGTTGGACATTTGCTCCGTCCACTCACGCAGTGAGGTCAAGATCGCAGTATGCCACTGCGGATTGACCGAGCTGATGTCGCCGCTGAACGTCGCAACCGTGGTGACGTGGCTTGTTCTGGGGCCCGCTCGCCGATGAACTGCGGTTACCTCCGCGAATACTACTGCGTGAGGACTTCCTTCGATTCGAAACGCGGCACAGATGCCTTCGTCGCAGAAGAATCGCATCAAACGCCGAAGATTTGCATTGAGCCGAGGGTGACACACTTGGTTAGATCGTCGTCGTTCTCCTCGCTTTCCAAGAAAGAAGAAGGAGGAAGATCGGAAGGAGGAAGGAGACGAAGGTAGGAGGTATGCCGGACGATGGGGACAGAGCTATGGCTGGCACTAGCCTCAGGCGCGATGCGCGCCGTGTTGGCGCCGTTGGGTCTGAGCTCGACAACGCGAAAACAACCAGAAAACTTGGGAGCGAGTTTCCGGTCGCGTGCACATTTACGTACTTGCACTAGGTCCCCTAATTTATATTGATGCTGGGGCCCAGCATTTCCATTCCAAGCCTCGTAGCTACGGACCTGTCTACCGTGGGCTGGTTCGGTCATCCTTTGCCTTTTTCGGGCTAGCTTTGGGACGGCCCGTTCCATTAATTCGGTGTACCTTTTGGCCTTGGCCTTGAGAGCTGTACGCGTGTCTCTACCCCCTGCTTTGGCAATTTCCGAGTTACCCCGGTAATCGACACAGGGGAGGCTATTAGTTCGAAGCTGAAAGGGGGTAAGCCCCGTAGACTCATGAGGGGTGGCCCGGTGGATCCCGACGATCTGATATACGATCTCGGGCCAAGGACGCGTGTCGTGTGCCGCTAAGTTCCTGCGAAGGGCGGTTTTAATCATACGGTTGGCATTCTCGGCCAACCCGTTCGACTGCGACACGTGGGGTGCCGTATGTCGGAGCGTGACGCTCCTTCGCGCAAGCAGTTCTTCTACCTCACCTTTGAATTCCGACCCATTGCCAGTTAGAATTTATTTCATATCTAGGTGGGTATAGAGGAATCGTTCGATGTACGTGGCTATTTCTGCGGCCTTTCGGGTCTTACAGGGATAGACTTCGATGTATTTAGAAAAATGGTCAATTAAAACTAACAGGATAGAATATTCACAGCCGTTTGGGCCAGGTGGCACGTCAATATCTGTTGTGTCCATACTGACTCGCTGGAAAGGACGCTCTACTTCCGTTGGTACGATCGTGTTTGGCCCCCGTATAGGGGCGCGATCAGCGACACAGACCAGACAGTTAGCGACAATGTACTTAACGTCATCTCGTATATTGGACCAGAACCATCGATTCTGATCTACAGTTGCCTTTGTGACACGTATTGCAAAATGAGCGGCCTGTTCTTCGTGAGCGGATCGGATCCAATCGTATCTCTAGAAGGGATGGGGAACCGTCAACCACGAACCTGATCCGTCAGTTTTACGCTTTTCCAAATGATCGTTGATCCATCGATAGTCCCGAGATCTCTCAGTTGCCCTACGTCTGTCGTGTTTGGTGAGGTGGCCCAATGATAATCCGGCTAATTTTGCTAATAAAATTTTATCCATCCAAACCTCCGCTCGTCGGTATTTTTCGTCGTATTAAGGGTCGTCCGTACGAGCGACCTCGAATCGAACCTCCGTGGGGAGCTTGTTCGTTCTACACAGGGGGCATCTCCATTCCTTACTACTCGTCCAATATCGAACGCAGGCCCCATGCGCACGGTTGACACACGTGGCACATTCTACCCAATCGACAAATCCGGTCTTGAAGGGATGACAGTCGACCCCATAAAGTCGTGCAATACACGTGCAAAAATAACAGAATTTATCGGGAAGGGTTGCGAAGAAAGCCGAGGAAGTGAAAGGGGCAGAATTAGTAAGAGAAGAAGGGGTTGCGGAGGCAGGTGGGGTAGTCATGATGACAGAGGAGGAAAGATGGGACTGACTTGTGGGGAGAGTAGAACAGACAAATTAGTCCTCATGCCACTTAGTACTTCGACAAAATCTCCACTTGGCCGTACCGGGGTCCAATCTCCTGTTCCGGTTCGTTCCACTAAATCACCTCCTCATTCTTCGGAACTTTCTCAGGTCGGTGCAGCCGTGTCAGTCCGTCCGCATTCCCGTGTCTCTCGTGCTTCCGATGACAGATGTCAAAGTCCATGTTGCCCATCGCCCGATCATGCCAAAGTAATCTTTTGATTTCTTCAGAGCCAATAGGGGTTCATGATCAGTTACCAAGGTGAACTTACGCCCGTATAGATAAGCACGAAAGTGACTGATTCCCCAGAGGGCCGCGTAGCATTCCCCCGTTGGAGCGGTGTAGTTGCGCTTGCAGGCGGGCACTGATTTGGATGCATACTCCACCACACTCTCGAGTCCGCTTGGTCCCACCTGGGCAAGGATCGCCAAAATCGCTTCTGGTTGCCAGTCAGTGATGAGAACAAAAGGTCTTTCGGAATCCGGTCTTAAAAGGACCGGAGCCGAAATGAGAGCGACCTTGAGTGTGAGAAACCCTTGATCGCATTCCGACGTCCAGATCAACGGCTGATCCGTGCGCAATAGATTTGTGAGGGGTCCCGCAATCGCCGCGAAGCCCTTGATAAATCTTCGGTAGTACGAGGCTAGGCCCAGAAAGGCGCGAACTTGCGTGATAGTCGTAGGCACCGGCGCGTCCCTGACAGGCGTCACTTTCTGCGATTCCAGTTGGAGTCCCTTGTCTATCACCACGTGTCCTAGGAAGGAAACGGTGGTGAGGAAAAACTAATACTTCTCAAGCCCCACTTTGAAACCTGCATCTCGTAACGCATGCAGTGCTCATTCGATGTGTTGCACGTGTCCCTCGTAGGAACTCGAATACACCAGGATGTCATCCATGTACACAATCACGCAGTAGTTGATGATGCTCTGCGCCAAATGAGTCTTCCTCACGAAATTTTGAAAAGCCATGTTCATGGCCCGCTGAAAGGTCGCAGGGGCATTGCAGATACCCATCGGACATCGAATCCACTGCCATGTACCTTCGAAAAGCACGAACGCTGTTTTCGGACGATCTTCCTCTCGAACAAGAAGATGATGGAACCCATGGCGAACGTCAAACTTGCTGAAAAATCGAGCACTCCCAATCGCATCCAACAACTCGTCAATCCGGGGGAGAGGGTACACATCTTTAATCGTGATATCATTCAATTTTCGGTAATCAATACAAATGCAAATCCCTCCGGCCTTTTTAGGCACGATCACTACAGGGAAAGACCATGGACCTATGGCGGGTTCGATCCATCCATTAGCTTCGAACTCCTTAATCCGCTGAAAAACGGCCGCTCTTTGAGCTGGCGAGTATCAGTAGGGAGCGCAGCTAATGGGCGGATGGTCTCCCGTGAGAATGGCATGCTCGATCACATTAGTTACACCGATGTCGTTGTCGTGTATGCTCAATACGTCTGCGTAACAGTTTAACACACGGATTAATGATTTTTGAAGCTCCGCGGGGACGTGACCTTGCAAGGTGATTGTTGATTCCTCGGAAAGCTTAAGGGGCATATCGATCCAATCAACCGGCCGTTCCCGTCGATCATGGACACTAGAAAAAACGGAACTACTGGTGCGAACAGAGAAGACAGTTGCTATCATCTGGGACTCAGCGGGGCTGATCATCTCCGTTTCTTTAGTTTCAACGTCAGTTTCTGAACCAACCGAGGTTGGTTCCACAGTTAGCCCCGTTAGATCCGTCATTTCTTGCATCAGATTAGGTACATCACTTACCGATGCCTCCGCCTCTTGTTTAAGCAAGGCGATGGTGACTCCTGCCGTTAGTAACGATATGGGCGGAAAAACAGAGACATCCAAATATTGTTCCGTTTGCTGATAACGCGTTCGTAAGGAGAGAGCTCCCTCGTATAGGGTGCGAGGGGGTTCCAAATCATCAGCCAGGTCGGATACTTGTAAGATAGGTTCCCCAAGCAGGACCGAAGGACTAACTTGAGTTATCGGAGGTGCAAACGCGCTGTCTCTGGAATCCACGTGGAAACTTCGAGCAGGGTCGGGGCACACTTGGAATTCCTCAAGAATTTCGTGTTCGAAAAGTTCAACCAGGTGCTTCCATTCATCTTCGCTGGGCAGCTCTTCTTCGTATTCCTGTTCCCTGGTTCCATCACTGATGTCCGAGGGAGAGCACTCCTCGGGATCAATGCATCGAAGCATCCCAATTTGGGCCGAGTTAGGGACCCGTTTTATCGTTCGGGTGGAAACTCGCAAAGGGACAGTTTGAGGCTTTCCCCCCGTTTGCGTGAGCACCAATTGTCTCGAATCGAAATGCAGACGTGCGCCTACCGCCATCGCCCAAGGTAATCCCAATAACACAGAATAGGAACGTACATCTATTACGAGCGCGTTAACAAGAACGTGTACTCGCCCGACTTTTACAGCCACGTTCTCGATAATGCGTTCGATGTTCATTGCCTCCTCGTCGGCAGAGACATAATTGTCTTTGCCAGATTGAGGAAGAATGGATCCCAGTCGTCCCGTCTTTTTGACAGTATCCAATGATATGGCCACGGAAGAAGACCCTGTGTCAATAAGGGCATTAAACGGCTTGCCCCAAACTTCACAGTCACATTCCGCACTTTTCCACAATACCGGTCGAGCTCGTACGAAGTGATCTTTTTCTGCTAAAGAGATCGCTGCTATGCGTGCGACTTCGGGTTCTGGTTCTTTCGTGTCAGGCTCAGGGGGTGCAACTTCCTCGCTTTCTTCTTTCTTCTTCAACATCTGTTGTACGCTTTTGATTTTTCTGGCAATGTTGTAGAAGCTTATCGTTCGCCACTTCAGATATGGTGAGCAGATGTCCCACTGGGATGGGCACGCGAATATCTAGTTGCTTGAGCGTTTTCAGTACATCAATGTCTCTTGTCTGAAACTGTGGTCCAAGATTGGATTCCCGATCGACCCACTCGAGATCATCCGGGACCGATCGGATTGCTCCGATCATGCCTGCAAGATAAAGATATTCGAGTGGATCGACTATGTCAGCAGCGTCAGAGGAGGAAGCTCCGGATGTCGACGCCAGTGTCGTCGAAAGGGAAGGCTGCTCGGGGGCATATGCCACGAGTTCTCTTCCTTGATCCGTATCCATCAAAGCAGTCACTCGTCCTTGATTAAGGGCGACGGGGGCCGCAGCAGGGGGAGACTAAGGTCGTTTCGGCTGCGGGCAGTCACGGGCGAAATGCCCGGGCTATTTGCAGTTAAAGCATTCGATCTTCCCTGCTGGATGAGGGAACTGGGGCGCGAACCCTGGAGCAGGTGCGGCCGGTAAGAGTGGAAACGATGCAGGGGCAGGCCGAGCAGGTGCCGGGTTAGGCTTAATGAGTCGGCTCATTATCTGTTCCATTCGTTCCATATGAGCGGCCTGCATTTGGATCAAGTTGCTCATCCATTCGGACTGCTTGGTAGTGGCCGTATGGATCATCTGGGCAAGGTGTAGGTTGGTTACGGCCGGCGAAGGGGGTTCGGATGAGATTCCACTTCTAACGGCTGCGATCGATTGATTCACCGGAGAAGAGGGAGGAGAAGCAGGTGGGATATCGGAAACGATCCCACCGGGAAGGTCATGGTCAGGGCGGGGATAAAACCGTTCGACCGCCTGCAACCATGATCGCCTTTTGGCCATTACATCCCGTATGGTATCTGTAATATCTTCGTCTTCCTGACTGATATATTTTTTTGTATCAGTCAGGTCCAACTCTAATGCTTTAGTGATGATGGCTGATAACTGGTGTGTTTTCGGCGGGACCTTCTTCTGCAGTTTGCCCTTTAATGTTGGACTACGTAGGTGATCGATGAACAAATCTCGAGCGGATTTCTCGTCCCGCCCGGATTTGTCCAACGTGGTTTGGAACCGATCGACGAAATCGGGCAACAATTTCCCTGGTCCTTGGGGTCGATTTTTTAGTACGTATCAGGCGGCATCTTCACTAACTGTATCGAATCGAGCCAAGAATGCTCGCTTGAAAGTATCCCAATCTACCCACGTATGTTTTCTAAACCAGTCACGGGATGTGTTGCGAAGTAGCAATGTCAGAACGCGGGCGAGATCGGCTAGGCTGTAGTTCTGAGCTTCGACAGCTTCCAGCCAAGCCTCGGGATGAGTATGGTTAGGGAAGAAGGGGAAGGGGGTAGGGATGCTAATGATCACCCTAGTACCGTCCACCATTGGTGTTGCTCGTGCAGCCGCACTAGACTGAGAACTGGTTACTGGGCGATCCCGACGAGTTAGTTGAGGGTCTCTCCTACCTCTCGCCAGTTCGACTTACCATTATCAGAACCGACACGTGTCGGCTCCAATACCAACCTCACGCCCTGTGCTGTCTTTCGTTCGGAGTGCTAGTTGTGCGGAAAGAGGCCCAGAAAAACAGCGAGATGGGGTGTGCCAAGGATTTTTGGAAATTGAGTGTGGGGACAGAGACGGAAATGAAATCCCCCGTGATGGTCCGATGAAGAGGGTCGATTGTTTTCGCGCATCGCGGAATGCACGTGCGGACAAGGCGCGAAGAGAGAAAAATCCAAATTCAATCTAAAAAGTATTGTCGGGCCTCCCACCATGCTACGGCCCGTCGTTTAGAGCGGAAGGGCTTTGGTACACTCCGCGTGTCCCGTTTCCGTATCAAATTTCGTCGTCGTTCGATGGTCAGTTCGGAGTCTGATGTGGATGGTCTCAGTCGAGTGGCTCTTTTCTTATGCTCGTCCTCACTCCGTATTCGGTAGTGAAAGCCCTTCGCTTCATGGCGTTCGAAGCGCTGGTACTCTGTGCACAGGGTTCGAGGCCAATGGGGCGCCACTGCCGTCCACGGAATGAGGATCAGCTCATTAAAGGGCAACAATATCGAGTAGGGCGGGAAGTGCGTATCGATAATGACAAATCCAGCTTCGACGAATCCTGAACAACGATCGGCCAGAGGGAATTAATATTGCTCGCCGATTTGTGCGACGGCTTCTCGTACGTCCCACTCACATACACGTGTCCTTTCCTCACTGTAGGGAAAAGGTCGCGTTGGGATGGGAGATACGGGAGGCTGGCGCCCAATCGAAGGGTACTTGTCAGTCCACATGTCAATTAATCACAAATATCCCGAGATGTCATTAAGAACAGAAGCAATTCACGCGACCCCCAATCAATCCTTTTGACACGAGAGAGAGAGAGAGAGAGAGAGAGAGAGAGAGAGAGAGAGAGAGAGAGAGAGAGAGAGAGAGAGAGAGAGAGAGAGAGAGCAAACACACATCAGCCTGATCATGCATATGGCTAAGGGACCGACCCGCGACTCAGTTCAACACAACGTTGGTCCTTGGCACCTTGTTTCTCATGGCCGCCCGGTGGCTTGGCTGCTGATGTCGTGCAGCATAAGGCAGATGGCATGCGCAGTGCGCTCGGAACCACAGATCTAAACACTCTTGCATTCTCGAACAAAAATTCAATCGTCTAATCAACACAAAGAGAGTCACACGTTTCCATACATGCATTCACTGTGGAAGGTGCGAAAATGAGACATGCACAGAAAAAGATGGATCGCACTGCACAATACACACGCATCCACCGTTCACAAGACAAGAAGACAGGATCCTTGCGTAGGAGGATTACCTAGGAAACTAATGGAAGAGTTCCGGAAGAAGTTCTCACACAGAAACAGGATGCCGACTTATTCCCATTCAGGAGAGGGACAATCATTCAGACGCATCATCATTCAAAAAGAGAAAGAGAAAGAGAGAGAGAGAGAGAGAGAGAGTCGAGGGAAAGAAAATCAAAATAGAAGATGGCCAGGTCCGAAAAAAGAAAAGTTCGGCGTCGCCGCCGTACACTCACGCCAAAGATAACAATCCGCAACAAAGGCGCATTCACCATTAATTCCAATATGGCCCCGGGCCAATCAACTCAACTCCAATCATCGATCCTCATACCCACACCGACGATCCCGGCCGTCGCGTGCTAACTCCCACCACTGCGATCGTCACCCCTCTATCGTAAACTCGACACGGTCCGCCCGGATCCCACAGTCCGTCGTGGCGATCAAGCGCGCAACCGGCCAGCCTATCGTCAGCCCGATAGGACTTTCTGACTCGCATTTACCCACTCTGCCTAGCCACTGCTTCCCGGAAGCTGGCTTAGGAGTCGAGAACGTAAGAGAGATTTGCGGACGCGCTTGCGAAGGCGACGGGAAAGCTGAGGTGTAAGAGGAGAAGCAGGAGGAGAAGACTTTGAGAAGAGTGCTCTACGAACGCCATGTTGATCCCTCGAAACTCAAGATTCAACCAATCAAATTCGTCGTGCAATAGGAAGGTCCTATTGATCCGCGCACCTGATTGGCGAGCGGGAGTTATCGATGGATCGAGCAGGCGTCGTGCGCCAGACTCAGAGGGTGAGAAGAGAAAAGGCGCGAGAAGTAGCGCAAGACAGGTCCAAGATTCAGATGATCAAGAAAGGGAAATGGGTGCGCAAAAAGCAAGGCGGGACAGAGAGAGAGAGAAGGAAAACAGTTACGGGGAGAGAGAAAAGGAGGGAGAAGGGAAGGGAGGCGCGGGAGGGAGCGATGCGGGGGACAGAGAGGAGAAAGCTTCTGCATACGCGGCGCCGTCAACAAAAATAAAGAAAAAGACACCGAAACAGTTACGGCTTGCTCCTCTCCTAATTCAAAATTGAAATCACCATATCCGCGCGTGAAAAAGCGACGCGGGAAAAGAAAATCCTATGCCTATTTGTATTCACGCAAAATTCCAAGAGTTTTCCCCGATGCGCCCAAGAACATTCACACACTCGAAAATGACACGTCGAAGTTCCGCTTATCCCGGAATTCCCAACTGTCGAGCCCAATTCCCAGTGCGCTCGCTAAGGCGCACGTAAATTCCCATGTATTTTTCGACTTGCAAAAAGGAAAAACAGATCCCAGAAGTCGAAAAACCCTTCAGAAAAGAAACAAAAAAAAATTGAAACGTGGTTTTTCTGGGGATCGGTATGATACAAGCAAAAGAAAGGGTACGAAAGATGGCACGGGTTCGGGAAGTGGTTCGTCATGGCCCCTGTGTGTGATAAACCAGACTGGGTAGATCAACAGAACAACCACGAGCAACGGACACCAGCAACCCACGCAATATCAAGACCCGACATACAACACCATGGACAACCCTTGGGTGGTGCGCAGGCAATGTGTGACGCGCAACCTCACGCCCTGTGCTGTGTTTCGTTCGGAGTGTTAGCTGTGCGGAAAGAGGCCCAGAAAAACAGCGAGATGGGGTGTGCCAAGGATTTTTGGAAATTGAGTGTGGGGACACAGACGGAACTGAAATCCCCAAGGGAATGTGTGTCCAGTTGTGCATCATTCTAATGCCCTATCAGTGTCCATGTGCAAGGCTGCAATTGAGTTTTGAACCCGCAACCTCATACCACAATGCGCATTTCCAACACTGCCTGCGCACCACCCAAGGGTTGTCCATGGTGTTGTATGTCGGGTCTTGATATTGTGTGGGTTGCTTGTGTCCGTTGCTCGTGGTTGTTCTGTTGATCTCCCCAGTCTGGTATATCACACACAGGGGCCGTTTTGTGATTGTTGCT